ACGGGCGCGCTCACAGTCTGACGGGCGCGCTCACGCGTCTTAAAGGCACAGTACATGAAAATTCACCACACTTCCCTTATGTTTTGTTTTTTAGAGTGTATGAGTATGTCAGTGCTTTACTCATCTGTGTTATGGGAGGGTGGTGCCATTTTGGATTGTCCGTCCGTCGGCCCGTCCGTATCCCCCCCTTTGAAACCCAGCACGTAGCGGTCATCTGTCAGCCAGCTGTACTGCACACCCCACACCGACCCAGGTTCCCCAGCCACCCCCTCCACCTCACAGTTGGTGGGTGAGCCAGGTTGGGGAGTGCCCAGATGCAAGCCGGAGGGCAGAGTCCAAAATCCACATAGAAAATAAAACACAGAATTAAAAGGGTTATAGGAAAAAAACTTCTACACTTATTATAATTTTTTTTCCAAAAATAATGCTAGATAGTTTTGGTCAACATTATACTTTGTCAAAGTTCATAATTTCAGAGCAGCTATGGTCTTGCATTCTCTTTTTTTATCCTTTACTATTCATGCAAAAATAAAATATAGAAAGGAAAAGTTTCTTTCACAGAACATATGATAGTGTGTGTGTGTGTGTGTGTGTGTTTACTCATCTCTTCTCCATGAGGGGGGCTGGCCGTCTGACTCAATCCGTGCCCACTCTTCCCCACCAGAAACCCGGCCCGATCGTGGTCATCACTTCGTCCGTGGTTGAACTTGGATCGCAGAAACCGCCCCGGCGATCACAGGTGTGCTCATTATGCCGTGAAAGCCCTCCCAGAGAGCTCCGCTCCACCCCCTGTCTCTTTTCTTCCAAACAGTCTTTGTGACGGTCACTCATGCTGGCTGATGCTGCCATTTGTCACAGCTTGTCAGAAACAGCAAAATCAAACTTATTCAACGTCAGGCTTTTACATGACGAATGGGTGATAAGAGTGGCAACCAGCTGCTGCCTCTGAGACTCAGACTTTGAAGCTTTGTTTCAACTTTCACACAGTCTCTTCCGCAGCTGGACAGATAACAGTCACCCGGTTCCAAAGTCTTTTGCTGCTGTTGCATGTTGAAAGAAATGTTGCAGGGTGGGGGTGGTTTTTTTTTAGGTTGGATCAGTGTTAGGTAACACGGCAGACGTGGCACACATTATCTCGTCTCCATGGTGCTGGGTTTATGGATGATCTTCTTTAGTGCTGGCTGTCACATTCTCAATGGTGTCACTAGGCTCCACCTCCAGGGTGATGGTCTTGCCAGTGAGGGTCCTTGACAAAGATCTGCATGCCACCCCTCAGACGCAGGACCAGGTGAAGGRTTGACACCTTCTGGATGTTGTAGTCGGACAGGGTGTGGCCATCTTCAAGCTGCTTGCTGGCGAAGATCAGCCTCTGCTGGTCAAGAGGGATGACTTCCTTGTCCTGGATCTTGGCCTTGACATTTTCAGTGCTGGCCTCAGCAAACACTGTCCATTTTCCAAATGTTCATCATCAGTCCAGTTCTCGGGTCTCGGCAGTTGGGAGTGGACCGGGAAAGAGTAGAGGGCCATCAGGAAAACTCCCCCGTCACATAAAAACAGCATACACACAAAAAAACAAAAAAAAAGATATTATTAATGAAACAGTTCTATTTATTCAACAGCTTCCTGGTAAAATGTCAGGCATTTTAACATTCCCTTTTTTTCTCTATGCCCTTTAAATGCTGATCCTTCATATAACATAACCTCAGATAGACAAATCCAAAAATAAACAAATAAAATAAAGAAAAAGAAAAATCACCCTTTTCTTTTTCTTTTCCTTCCAAAAAGTTTGAAATACTTTGTTGATATATTTAAATGGCATGTAAGCTGGCATGTATGCCAGGTCTATAGTAAAGCCAGCCTTCAAGTGAGAATGTTTCATTATATGTTTTTTTAACTTTACATCTCATTTTAAAAGGTAAAACAAACAAAGCTAAAAAAAACACTCTTCCTTGCTTGAGGGAATTGAACAAACCTCCATTCTGTATATAAATACTGACTGGATCATTTGTAACAGAAAACAAACAAATGAAAAGAAAACCAGTTCAGCAAATACCATTTTTTCCCAAAAGTTTCATTAATTAAAAGTATCATAACTCTTTGTCTTCAAATAAAATATCTTTCACACTTCACCCTGAGAGTTAGTTAGAAAACACATCAGTTTTCATGCATGTTAGGGGGTTTATGAAAAAAGGAAACAAAAACGGGGAATCTGTTGCCCGACGCGTGTAACCTCCTCTTCAACACACGGTTTACGGCAGGGGAGGGAAAGGAGGAATGACCAGGCCCTGGCCAAACCCCACACCCACCCAGCCGCAACAAACAGGAGGTGACGCTGCGCGGCTGAAAACAACTGAGTCCCAAATGCGCTCCATTAAATATTACTAAACGCATGTTATTAAAAATGTTTCATATACAAACAAACAAACTTTAATCATTCTTCTTGATTTAAGCTTTGAGTCACCTTGGTCCCGGAAACCAACTTATAAAGACACCCATATCTGCAGACACTTTTTCATGGCTGTCAGCGACATCTTTGTTTTTCATGTCCTGTACTCAAAAGGAAAGCCTTTCTGGTCACATTCTGTGGCTGAAAACTCAGGCCCATTGCCCTACTTAACGACATTCTTATAACGAGATGTCGGGACCGCGGTCATGTGGAATGACTCCTAGCCTACAAAAATGTCTCCTCAAATAGAAACAAGACGGAAAAACAACATTTTCCCTCAGCAGATTAAACATTTGTTTTAACCTAATGTAGGGGTCACCTCGAGTGAAGAAACAGGAGTTACTGCCTCAAAACAGGTCTCGAAAGGCCTGAGAGAAGGCAGGAACACTGAACTCTATTTTAGGCCATGATGGGTCATTTCAACTTACAGGAGGACTTCAGTTCTCTAATCAGATATTAAACAGAAACAATCTGTTCTGTTCGTGATTCGTTGGTTGTTTAAGAATGTTTATGCATCTGTTAATCATAATAATGACATGTCACAAAGAAAGAAAGAATCACTTCTATTCTTTTATCGTGCCTAAAATAGATTAATGAATAGTGTAAAATCACAGAAAATCATCACCATGTTTTCATTGTGTTTTATAAATCACTGTTTTATTTTACTGAAACATCAGTAATATAATTTTGAGTTTTCTTAAGAAAATCTTACATTTATCTGGACACAGGTTCAGGATGATTATTTAAGCAGAAATGTTAATTAATCATGATAAATGTTTCACAGTGATTCCTTACAGTCTAGCAGAGAAGATATTATTATAATGTCTGTTTAAAACAGCTACAGAGCAATGGCCTTCACTGGCGACAGCTGGCAACTCTCTTATCTTCTTTCCTTTCTGACTGAGGGCATATTTAAGGCTAAGACTCTGGCTTACTAACACGGACGCCTTAGAGACACATCAGCAGTGTTCTTCCTGGATGCCGATACAGGAGGAGAGGCTGTTTCTCTCCGGAGAACGGCCGGGCCGCAGGTTTTGACTCAAATAGCCAATTCGAGTCGGCTTGACGGCCAGGGCAGGAGCAAGCAGCTCCTGTCCACCTAGAGACCCAGGTCTCTTAAGTGTTTTCAACTCCCGAGGGGAGACTTTTATTTTGAGAGACGACTGGAACCACAGCTGGAATCTTTCTAGCCAGGCTGAAACAGACGAAAAGTCACCTAAACGACACCTTTTCGCCAAGGACCAGCGAGGACAAGCTTCCTAGAGGGTCGTGGTGAGACAGTCTACACCAGGGGTGTTTTGAGCAGACATCACCAGGTAATGCTGACGTGTTCGTGGGTGACAGGTCAAGTTGAAGCTGAGAGCAGAGAGGACGTGCTGAAACGGTTGCCACAGATTTTCCAAAAATAAAAGCAGAAACACTAATTCTTAATTTTCTCACCTTTTCTTACCCTTTATCCTTTGCCAACTCTAAGTGAAAGTGCCAGTAAATTGTTAGTTTAACATCAGACTGACGTTTACTGTCTATATAAGTAATCTGAGTTAATGTGAAAGAAATTTGGAYGCGGGTTTTATCTCATTTACTTAGACTCTTAGTAGGAAGCTCACAATCAGGTGTAATTTATGATTTTGTTCATTTTGTGTAAATAAATGATTGCATAATCTTTTATGAATCAACTTGAACCAGTCTGAGTTCCCTCATTGTGTCACTTCACTTTGCACAGACAAATATTAAAGTAATGAGGAAAACCTTGGTAAAATTTACTCTCATAACTTAGTTATGGGAAGATGTAAGGTGAGCTTATTTGCATAAGTAACTCATTCCTACACTGCCCACGCTCACCATAGACAACACAGTCATCAAGGCTACATAAAAAAACAGAAAACTGAGCTCCCTGCTTTTTAAACTCGATGTGGAATGAATCGTTCCCACACCTACATTCAGCTAGCATCATTTCAGCCTCAGAAAAACCAGACCAGCGTCTAAAAATTATAATTTCAATGTGTGCAGGCCGAAAAATTAGCCGCAGCTCTTTAGCATAAGGTGCTAATGAAAATATTAGCTCATAGTTTTTCTGTCGACAGTCAGGTTCTTTTCAGCTCCAGTCCCCAAAGACTACCCACAGCGGTCGGGGCATGACAGATTCACAAAACCCGGAGACGATCAGCAGACAAAACCCAGAAACAAACACAGAAACAAAAAGGATTATAGAAAAAACTTCTACACTTGTTATCAAAACATTCTTTAAAAATAATGCCAGATAGTTTGATCAACATCTTACTTTGTCAAAGTTCATACTTTCAGAGCAGCTACGGTCTTGTTTTTTTTTCATATCTTTTACTATTCATTCAATAAAAAATAAAAGAAAGAAAAAGTTTCTTTTACAGAACATATGACAGCGTGCGTGTGAGTTTACTCATCTTTTCTCCATTGGGGTGGGGGTGGCTGGCTGGCCGTCTGACTCAATCCGTGCCCACTCTTCCCCACCAGAACCCAGCCTGGTCAAGGTCATCACTCCATACCTGGTGGACTTGGATCCATAAGACCACCCTGGCCATCCACAGGTGTGCTCGTTAGCATTGATTGAGGCGATGATGCCGTGAAGCCCTGCCAGAGAGCCCCGCTCCACCCCCTCTCTCTTGTCTTCCCACATCAGTCTTGTGACGGTCACTTATGCCGATGTTTTGCAGAACTTTATTGTTGATGTTGCCATTTGTCACAGCTTGTCAGAAACAGCAAAATCAACCTAATGTAGCGTTAGGCTGATTGATCCGACGACGGGGTGCTGTAGAGTGGCAACAGCTGCTGGGCTCAGTGAATATCAGACTTTGAAGCTTTGTTTCATCAACTTTCACAGTCTTCTCCGCAGCTGGACAGATAACAGTCACTCGATCCCAAGGTCTTTTGCTGCTGTTGCATGTTTAAAGAATTTTGCGGGGTGGGTTAGTGTTGGGCAAACAGGCAGAAATGACAATGTTATCTCGCCTTCATGGTGCTGGGCAGTGGATGATCTTCTTAGTGCTGGCCTTTATACAGTCTGCTGGTCTCAGCATCGCTGTCCATTTGTCCACATGTGTCCATCATCGGTCCAGGTCTCGGGTCTCGGCGGTTGGGAGTGGACTCGGAAAGAGCGGAGGACCATCAGGAAAACCAAACTCCCCTGTTGCATAAAAAATCAAGCACACACACAAAAAGAAATTAATGAATCAGTTTTCTCTATTCATTCAACAGCATGCAGATCATGTCAGGCATTTTAAACACTTTTTTCCCAGTCTGTTTGAAATAGTTTTGTGTATATATTTTTTGAATGGCATGTAAACAAGTCATGCATTCTATTTCAAGTTAGAATGTTTTATTACATTTTTTACCTCTCTGCATCTTATTTTAAGATAAAACAAACAAAATAAACTCTCCCCTTGCTTCAGGGAATTGAACAAATCTCCACTCCATATATTGACTCAAAAATCATTTGTAACAGAAAACAAACAAATGAAAACACTAGTTCAGCAAATTCCCCTCTCTCTTCCAATAATGGTGTTTTTTATTTTTCACTTAACCCTGAAAGTTAATTATAAACACAACCGTTTTTATGCATATGTTAGGGGTTTATGAAAAAGAAAACAAAACGGGTAATCTGTCGCTCCGCGCGTTCCCTCCTTTCAACACATGGTTTACGGCGGGGGGGGGGTCTTGTCACAACACCCCAACAAGCCGCAACTACAGGAGGTGACGTTGCGTGGCCGAAACAGGAAAAATCCCAATCCGCTCCATTCAATAGTCCCGAAAATCAAAGAGACTAAACCATGTTATTAACAACCTTTATCGTTCTTCTTGATTTAAGCTTTGAATCACGTTCCACTAAGCGATCCCGGAAGGCGGCTGAGCTGTTTTAAAACTGATAACAGCCACCGTCCGGGAAGCCAACTTATCAGACTCCATACCCGCAGACCCTTTTTTCACGGCTTTCAGCACCATATTTATTTACCTTGACCTGTGCTCAAAAAGAAAACCCGCTGGTCGCATTCTCTGACTGAAACTCGTGCGCAGTGCGACTTTCTCAAACGAACGTCGGGACGGCCGTCACTTGAAATGACTTCTAGACTACAATTGTCTCCTCAATAGAAACAAGACGGAAAATTACATTTTCCCTCAGCAGTTTAAGCATTTTTAAACTGCCTACACTCACATAAGACAAACACTGTCCTCTTGGCTACATTAAAACAGAAAGCTAAGCTACCTGTTTTTGACTCAATATGGAATGAAAACGCTCCCATATCTACCTCGGCTAGACTCAACAACCTCAGAAAACGACCAGACGAGCGTTCAACAAATTACAATTTCAATGTGTGTGGGCCGAAAATTAGCCGTAACTTTTAGCATAAGGTGCTAATGAAAATATTAGCTCACCGTGTTTCTGCCAACAGACAGGTTCTTTTCTCAGCTCCAGTCCCAAAAGGTTACCCACAGCGGCCGAAGTAAGGACAGATCACAAAACCCGGAGACGATCAGCAGAGAAAGACAGGTCAGCTTTGTCAGCCTCCATTTTCCGGTGGATCTCCGAGAAAAACAGTCGACTGCTGCAGGCAATCTTCTGGTCCTCGAAGCTGCCCCTCGACAACGCCAAATTCTGTCGTGGAGATGATTTACCAAGAATGCAGAAACACGTTGGAATAAATGCAGAGAAAGTCTGCGTGTGTGGTCATCAAATGATTTAATCTTGAGCAACAACAAACAGAAGTCAACCAGGAAGTCTGTCGGGTTGTAGCTGTCGTCAGCAGACAGCAAGTCAATAATATAACAGCATGATAACATCACGTGACAGTTTACAACCAATCACAGTTCGGCGAATGTACTGCCCAGCCAATCACAGGGCTCTCAGCTCAAAGAGCTCCTTATCAAACAAGAGAGGTCAATCTCTCGCTGGAGTCCTGTTGTCTGGGCCAAAACAGATTAACAGCCGAAAACTGGTTATAATAAGATATGGTTATGGACAGTGTCAAGGTAGAACAGATATACATAATTATTCCATAACACTAACTTTAGCTAATGTTAGCATTCACCTGCATGGCTGCGAGTCGTCTCTCTCAGGTGGAGGAATCAGAAAACCTTCTTCAGCAGATTTTTCTTCTCTGGCAGATGTTTGTAAAAAATCTAACAGCTTCAATAATGTCTCCAGTTCTTTTTCAAACTTGTTCTAACAAATGAACTATTTTAATATGAGCACAGCTTAAACTTCTTCACAAGTCCCACCTCCACCCTGTTTCTGATTGGCTGKTAGGCCTATAGTGTGTTTAAAGTGACAGCTGCGCCTCGACGAAGGTCCAGAGAAATGTTTAATATTCTCTGGGCAGATGCATTTTTTTCCTTGGCAGCTACATTTTGCTGGCGATCCAGCATAGAATTGTGCTGTTAGAATATCAAGGGTTTTCAAGGACATTATACAGAAATCAAGCACTTTCCAAACCTTGAAATGGCTCTGTTAAAATTCAAGCATTTTCAAGGATTTCAAGCACCCTGGATATCGACGCTGCACAGCCAGGAATAACTGAAGTAGAGTCATGTCAGAGGCCTGGTTGTTTATTTACTTTATCAAGAAAAGACCCAAATGTATTTGTGAGGAAATGTACACTCACCGGCCACTTTATTAGGTACACCTGTCCAACTGCTCGTTAACACTTAATTTCTAATCAGCCAATCACATGGCGGCAACTCAGTGCATTTAGGCATGTAGACATGGGCTACGTTCACACTGCAGGTCTTAATGCTCAGTTCCGATTTTTTGAAAAACTCCGATCTTTTTGTG